TGAGTGAAAAGGAGGTATCTGTGTGATGGCACAGGCTGGACATTTCGCAAGGCAGGAATTCACTCACAGGATGAAACTTGTCATAGCCACTTGTATACAGAGAGCACTAAAAACATATGGCACGATGTGATAAAGACGTTGATAAAAAATTCAGGTCCCTCCATATGACGTGAGTTTATATGAAAATGTAATTAAGTTACATTGTTCCACAATTACAGTGACACTTTTGAATTGGGGACAGCAAAACACTTACAAAGCACTTACACTTGTATGAGAAGTCAATTACTCTACATTACATTTTCCTTTCAGATGCCCATTGGCTGTTTATAGCGATCACAAATCATCACACACTATACGGTTAAGGATTCCAGATTCAATAAGAAAAATCCAAAGCATAAATCATCATCATAACGACAAATACTTTTTTTACTGTGTTTATACCAACATAATATATCGGCAAAAAAATCCCCTCAACATCCACACCAACCACAATGGTTAGACGATCTTAAAGCTGACCTATCAGGCACAACCCATTTTAATCTACCTCTTTGGAGAGATACAGTAGTTAAATACTAGAGCTATAAAAGCTAACTGTTTACCTGTCCCTTTAACTTTTCAAAAAACAGGGCTGTGAAGTAGAAAATACTTTTCATGCAAATGTTGACTCTGAATGTTTAATGAGCCCATCTATAATACATGGAGATGCACAAGGCAGAGGAGCAGGTGTAGGAGAATTACTGTTCCTTATAACGTAGCACTGTTCAAGAGGAATGTAAATGTTTCCTGTAGGATGGATCATGTTGTTTTGCTGATTGTATTGTATGTTTTCAAATTTGTAATGCTATATTGATTGCTGTTGCCTTCTTGGCCAGGTCTCCCTTGCAAAAGAGACTATGTGTCTCAATGGGCTTTTTCTGGTTAAATAAAAGTTTAAAAAAAAGATATGCATACTTTACTGGGTGGCATTGATCGTTCCCCCCTTGGTGATCAGATTCTGATTCTGAATGAATGAGAGTGGGAGATGAAATAATCTCTTTTGTAATGGGCCACTACATCAAATCATACGTGATGCCATTCAAATGCTCAATACAAGTGGAAAGGCCTATATGCATTGGACAGCTAAGTGAAAGAGATCTTGCTGTATTTTTTTTTTTACATTTTAGTCTTTTAGCAGACGCTCTTATCCAGAGCGACTTACAGTTAGTGAGTGCATACATTTTTCATACTGCCCCCCCGTGGGAAACGAACCCACAACCCTGGCGTTGCAAGCGCCATGCTCTACCAACTGAGCTACAGGGGGCCTGTAATCCAATGCAATTCACTGAGTTTTCCTATTATATGAAGAGTGCCAGTATGTGGCATTCAAACATGGGAATATAAACCCATTATAAACCAACTCCAGACTACTTCACGGTACACCCATGTTTGTGTAATCCAGTAACACACATGAGAGGTCACACAACACAGAGTGCGTGAGCGTCAGATGTAAGCTCTGTATTCTCCTCTCATGCTCTGGTATGCAACATCTGTGTAGCCCTGCTGGCTCAGGGAAGACAGACGCCGCCGGCTCATTGGCTGCTAATCCTGCCACCGTGAGAGAACAGCAAATCAAGAGGCCATCCCCAAGGCCCAGGAAAATGGATATTGATCCAGAGCCATGTCTAAATGGATTAAATTACAGAGTGCTGTTGCTAGCAACAGGGATGGACAGGGAGAGATGGAGAAGGAGGGAGAGAGGCAGGGAGAGCGGTGTGGGGGGGATTGGAGGGTACTCTATCAAGGCTTTGGCCACCCATGCCTGGCATTGGTAGACAGCTCACTCCCTCTTCTCCCCATAATCAATACTATAGTCAATAATTCCCTCCGACTACCTCCTGCATGAAAGAAGTCCCTAGAACACTCTCAGTCTCTATAACATGACAGTCTTCTTGGTAATGGTAGTGGTTAATTGAGTGTGAAACTGTGAGGAAGGTATCGACTACATATTGGAGGGAGAAGATGCATCACAGACACATTAGGGGGGACTTGACTAACACTGTGTCAACATTAGTGGGCAAAGCTGGGTGGTAGGAGTCATTCACTAACGTGAAGTCAATAGTCTTCTTGTATGAGCAGTGATCCAGGGTCTTCACTCTTTCTCATTCACACCCTTTTTGTTCATGGCCTGAAGAGAAGAGGGGGAGAAGAGTCCGAGTCTGGAGAGGATATCTAACAGAGTGCTTCCCCTGCATGTTCTGAGCTTTAATATTCTGCAAAGTAATGTGTCCAATGGCATGACAGGAATATCAAAGAGGAGAGTGTGAACTAACCGATAGTAATAGCAACATCAAGGGATGGCTGTGCTTTCTCTTGAAGCCCACTATAATCCATATCTGGATTCATAATAGCCATGAACAATTGGAAGATATTCAAAGATTTTAGTGTCTTTTTGAGTCCTGGTATTCTTCAATAGTCATTTTCAAATGCACTTGCAATCCTTTTTGATTTTAAGAAGTCCTTTCTTTGTGTTAATCTTTGATACCTTTGTACATCAAGGGCAGCTCTGTCATACTGTTGGGCCCATATACTTATGGTTGGGCCCCTATCTTTTAGGACCAGTTTCCCAGACCAAGATTAGGCCTAGTCCTGGATTAAAAATCATTATCAATGTAAATTCTCCATTGAAAGCACTTTTTAGTCCAGTTCTAGGCTTAATCTATTTGTGTCTGGGAAACCAGCCCATAGAGCTTCAGTCACAAACATTCTTCCCCACTCCACTTCATCCCCTTCGGGCACTGCTCCACTTCATGGTACAATTGAATAATCATAAAGAACCCATTGGATTCCAGCTGACACACGGACAACAGCACATGCTCAACATATGTAAATGTAAATGAAGCTTCTGTCCATTTCAGTGCAGTGATGTTCCAATCCCTATGACATTATGAAGAGAATGCATAATGGGTCCCTGTGTCCATTAGATTTACAGTCAAGGATGTCCCACCATGAGTAATACTTAAAGAAAAACTGCTGTTGTTCTATTTACAGTACCAGTCAAAAGTTTGGACACACCTACTCATTCAAGGGTTTTTCTTTATTGTTACTATTTTCTACATTGTAGAATAATAGTGAAGACATCCAAAATATGAAATAACACATATGGAATCATGTAGTAACCAAAAAAGTGTTAAACAAATATATGTTATGTTTGAGATTCTTCAAAGTAGCCACCCTTTGCCTTGATGACAGCTTTGCTGTCACGATCGTTGACTGATGAAGCGGACCAAGGCGCAGCGTGATAAACGTACATACTTTATTCCGTACTTAACACGAACAAAACAACAAACGAAACGTGAAGTCCTAGGTTAACACAAAACCTTAACGGAACAAGATCCCACAACCTAACATGCCACAAGGCTGCCTAAGTATTGTCCCCAATCAGAGACAACGAGCTACAGCTGTCTCTGATTGGGAACCACCCTGGCCAACATAGAAACTAAACGATCTAGAACAAAAACCAATGAAAACTAAACATAGAAAATCCACACTCTGGCTCAACAATTAAGAGTCCCCAGAGCCAGGGTGTGACATTTGCACAATTTTGGCATTCTCTCAACCAGCTTCATGAGGAAGTAGGTGTGTCCAAACTTTTGACTGGTACTGTATATTACTTCCCTTGATACAAGAAAATAATGTAAAAGAATTTGGGAATACTGCGTGCCAATTCTACATAATTCCATAAAATATAGGCTACATAATACATTTTACGGTAGGCCAAGATCTGTGGCCTAAAGTGAACAGGAAATTCAGAAACTATCGGGGGAGAGTGGAACTTGATAAAAATGCTTCTTGGTTGAAACAAGACCACTTCAGCCCTGGGGGTTTTACAGAAAGAGAAATTAAGTAGGGTTTATTACACTTAAAAATGACCTCCTATGGGTTCGGGACCAATCACAATGGGATTGCAACACAAAGCATGATGTAATTGGTAAATTAGTTGCAAAATTCTGACCAATTGGATCTGTAGAGCCATTTTACAGCACAGTCAGGGCAGCAGGTAGCTTAGTGGTTAAGAGCGTTGTTCCAGTAACCGAAAGGTCGCTGGTTCTAATCCCTGAGCCGACTAGGTGAAAAATCTGTCGATTTGCCCTTGAGCAAGGCACTTAACCCTAATTGCTCATGTAAGTCACTCTGGATAAGAGCGTCTGCTAAATGTAAAATACAATTTCAATACGGAGTGGCTGCGGATCCAACTGCTAAAGGTCCAAACGCTTGTGTGGGATTCTCTACTTTACGGACAGTCGCTGGAGTAATCAATGACGGTGAGTGTAGAGGTGGATCAGATGAGAAATAATATTCCTGGTGTTTGTGATGCCAGCTGTTTGGTGAGACGTAGACACGGTGGCAATGGTGTGACTGAGGATACACTGTCTGTCTTGTTGAACTTTGATACAGAGTTTCAGGTTGGGTTATATCAGCTATTCTGTGAGGGCCTTTGTTCAAAACCAGTTACGGTGCTTTAGTTGCCAAGGATTCGGACATGTTGCAGCAGTGTGTAGGAGAGAGATCCCAAGATGTGAGAAGTGTGTAGGAGGGTATAGTTACAGGGAGTGTGAAGTTGGGGTAGAGAAAGCACTGTGTGTCAACTCTGGGGGCACCCATGCAGCTGGGGAGCCGAAGTGCCCTACTGCCCTGTGAGAGAGAGACAGGTTGAGTTCGAGTGGGGCAAAACGTTTCCTAGGCTGAGGCAGTGAAGAGTAAAGGAGAGTCCAAGGGTGAGTGATTTTGACTGGGAGACAGGGCCCCCCAGGGAGTAGGCTTGAAGAGCGAGAGAGAGTTTTAGTAAAGTATGACTTCTTGCGTTTATTGCTATGGTTATTAATTGTATTGCACTGATTGAACTTAAATCCTATAAAATAGATGTGATAGTGGCACCCACCTGGATGAAGTCAAAGTGAGTAAAATACTGCTTTGGCGCCATCTGCTGGGCACAGCTGCAGATGAGTAAAGATGACCAAATCGGAAGCGGAAACATGTAGGATAGCCTTTAGTTCCACGTGCAGCAGAATTTTTGCCACATTGCCATAACCACAGTCCTGCAATGAAGCGCCCAGGTAAGTGTAGCTGAAGTCTTTACATTTGGCTTCTACATTCGTTTTTCTTTATTAATCACAAATAATATTGTCTTCGTTGTGATTCTGTTGAATAAATTTACATTGCCAGTTAGCCTGCCAACACTTAGCTAGTGACCCATGCTGGCTAGCATTAGCTTGCTAGCTAGCCCTAGAATTTCATGCATGTGTTTAATGTTTTTCAGGGTTAAAGAAAGCAAGTAAACGTGTGTCTTGCTCCAAACGTTATAAAATACAGAAAAAGGTATTGTGACTTGCACTCTTTACTGTCAATACTTAACTATATTTAGGCTACTCCTAACGGTAGCTGTTGCTGATGTTGTCATGAAGTAGCTAGCTAACGTTAAGTTGGCTAGTTCATTGGTTTTAAAACCTCTCCTCCGGGGACCTCCAGACGTTTCACAATTGTGTTGTAGCCCTGAACTAGTTCACATGATTTATCTATTCAGGGGTATGATGAATAGTTGACTAACGTTAGTTGAATAAGGTATGCTAGCTAACTCAATATATTGTTCTAATCAGCTATGTACTGTTAACTATAGATATATGCGCAAACAAAGTCTTGTCGTGATTTATGCAATTTGTTTTTTAGGTCCGGGAACACAACAGAAAACTAAAAAAAGAAGCAAAAAAGAAAGGAGTAGGCAAAAAAGTGAAAAAGGATATTGGAGTTCCCAACAAAGCACCCTTCAAAGAGGATATTCTGAGGGAAGCAGAACAGAGGAGGTTAAAGGTAAGTTCATGAACTGTTTTGGGGTCGTGTCTTTCATATTTTAGGGGGCAAAATAATTACGCCTAAAATGAATGCGTTCTCATCTCTCTCCAACTCAGCTTGAAGAAGAAAAAGGGAAAAAGAAGCTTGCCAAGCAACAAGAACGGGCTCAGAAGAGGAAGAAGGAAAATGCTGCCAGTAGTGATGGAGACACCAAAGTGAAGAAAGCTAGAAAGGTAAAGGAAAATTGGAAAAAGGTGAAGGGCATCAAAAATCATGCACTCCATGTAGCTTGACAACTCCACATTTTAACTCCACAGGAGTTACCGTCACAGGAGGACCTTGTGAAACAGATGGTGAAACAGAGTGACCCAAGGAATTCAAAGAAGCACTTTTGTTCAGAATTAAACAAGGTAGCTAAAATGATTCAATCTAAATGTCTCAGTTGGTATTAGGTGCACAGGCAAGGAAAGTATAGCCCTTGTCTGGCAGTTGCTGTGAAAGACAGAAGCTTTAATAACGACATGCTCTACCGGAGTGTCCCTATGGATCGATATTCATTAGGCTACTCTCATATTTTTTCCAGGTGATCGATGCCTCTGACGTCATAATTGAAGTCCTAGACGCCAGAGATCCCCTTGGCTGCAGATGTCCACAGCTAGAGGAAGCTGTACTGAAGAGGGGTGGAAACAAGAAGCTACTATTCCTGTTGAACAAAATAGGTAATAACCTTATGGATAAGTCTTTCATGTCAATTATATGTAGATTTTGTGTTATCTTTGTTCAAACGGTAATGCAACTTACCATAAACTAAATTTTCCAAATCCTACAGATCTTGTCCCTAAAGAGAATGTGGAGAAGTGGCTGCAGTGTCTTCAGCTTGAGTTCCCAGCTGTGGTGTTCAAGGCGTCCACACAACTACAGGATAAAACAGTGGTATGGACTATGTACATGCAGTGCCTAAGATTTTAATGGAATTAATTTCACTGACTATGTGGGGGGGAATCCATATTGATGACCAACTTCAGTCACACTTGCAGAATGTAGAATATTGGTAATTACTGGGTAGACTATTTGAATATTGATCATAAATGCTTATGTTTGTTAAACAGCAAGAGAAGAAGGCTAGGTTTGCAACTCTTAACGGAGTAGTAGACCAGACCAAAGGAGTGGCCTGTTATGGCAGCAGCTGTCTTCTCCAGCTCCTGGGAGACTATGCAAATGGGACAGGGAGAGAGGGCTCAGTAAAAGTGGGCTTAGTCGGTAAGGAAGCTACTCCCCTCACCATTATTTAGACATAAACTGCATCTCCTTCCTTAATTAGTATGGCTCTCAAGTGGTGGTATTAAAGTGTTGTGGTTAAGAAATTATGATGATTTATGTGAACTACTGATGTCTGTGATGACTAATAATGCAACGCTGATCTCATCCATAGCGATCGCAGTGCCCTGTTGTGTACCCTATGTCATATTTTGTCTGATCCGTCTTATGTTCTTTCAGTTTATTTTATCAAATTATATTATCATACTGTATGCACACATTAGCCTGTCATGCATGTTATGTCTGTTATATGACAACAAGATGATTAATCTTTAAGGGTTTGTCCTGCATAGTATAAATACCTGTTGTCTATTACTTGAATCTCTCATGTCCTCCGCTGTCCCCTCAGGGTTCCCCAATGTGGGGAAGAGCAGTCTGATCAACAGCCTGAAAGGGATGAGGGCCTGTAATGCAGGAGTCCAGAGAGGGATCACCAGGTGAGTGAAGCTGAACCATTCAAGCATTCATGGTAGAGATGGGGTCCATTCTATTCGCAGATGGTAAGGAATTGTATGAAGCATGATGAAGTTGAAGATCTGACAAAACTATGGAGTCTATATTCAATCCAACACTGAGCTTCATACACCTCATCTGGGTCTTGCCAATTAGGGCAGAACAGTCCGAAACCCGTGGCTATGTCTGTTTACCTGAATTTGCTCAATGCATGAGTGCCATTTGTAGCTTACCACCTAACACACCTCATGTCTGACTCTTGCAGGTGCTTTCAAGATGTCCACATCTCTAAAAATGTCAAGATGATTGACAGCCCTGGGGTAGTGGCGGCCCAGTCTAACCCAAAAGCTGCCATGGCGCTGAGGAGTCTCCAGGTGGAGGACAAGCAGGAGACTGTTCTAGAGGCCGTCAGGACCCTGCTCAAACAGTGCAACAAGCAACAGGTGAGAGTGGGGAGATCACTGGTGTGTGGAAATGTTACTGCCAAGTTTGAGATCAAGCCCTAGGTCTGCTGAGCCTACTAATAGTTAATCCTGGACTTTGTCTTTCAGGTAATGCTTCAGTACAATGTTCCAGACTTCAGAAACTCTTTGGAGTTTTTATCATTTTTTGCCAAGAAACGAGGATTTCTGCAGAAAGGTGGAGTCCCCAACACAGAGCTGGCTGCCTCTACCTTCCTCAATGATTGGACAGGGTGAGTGTTGTCATCGTCACAATTTGTCACCAATCAAATTAAAGTAGGGTCAGGCTAGCATGGAAATGAGGATAATTAACGCAATTCTTGAGTTAAAGTGAAGACTTCTAATCCAACTCTGATCCCTCTGCTGAGCCAGACTGAGTACTTCGCCTGGAAACTAGAATGAAATGTATTTTTTGTAAATACTTGGGTTTTTTTTAACCTACAGGGCAAAGCTGAGTTACCACTGCAAAGCCCCTGAGAAGCCAAGCCTTCCCACATACCTCTCTGAAGACATTGTAACAGAGATGCAGAAGGGCTGGGACTTGGACAAGCTGAGGAAGAGCAATGAGGAGACTTTAAGAAGTGTGTTAATTTAGTATTTTCTCTAATAGAAGAATTCTCATTATACATTTGTCATTTAGCAGGCGCTCTTATCCATAGCGACTTACCAGAGTAATTAGGCTTAGGTGCCTTGCTGAAGGGCATATTGGCATATTGTTCATGTAGTCGGCTCGAGGATTCAAACCAGCGACCTTACGGTTACTGGCCCAACACTCTTAACCACTAGGCTACCTGCTGCCCAGTAATGAATGAGTCTGTGTTGATGTACACCAGTGTTTCTCAACTCCGGTCCTTGAGTACCTCGTGCAGGACACATTTTTGTTGTAGCCCCGGATAAAAACACCTGATTCAACTTGTCAAGGGCTTGATGATTAGTTGACAAGTAGAATCGGGTGTGCTTGTCCAGGACGTCTGCTAAATGATGTAAATGTACTGTTGGGGGTACTGGAGGACCAGAGTTGGGAAACCCTGATGTACACTGAGTTTACAAAACATTAGGAACACTTAATGTTTCCATGAGACTGATCGGGTGAAAGCTATGATCCCTAATTGATATCACTTGCTAGATCCACTTCAATCATTGTAGATGAAGGGGAGGAGACAGGTTAAAGAAGGATGTTTATGCCTTGAGACAATTGAGACATGGATTGCCATTGAGGGTGAAGGGGCAAGACAAAATATTTAAATGCTTTTGAACGGGGTATGATAGTAGGTGCCAGGTGCACCGATTTGAGTGTTAACTGCAATGCTGCTGGGTTTTTCACGCTCAAGTTTCCCGTGTGTATCAAGAATGGTCCACCACCCAAAGGATATCCAACCAACTTGACACAATGGTGGGAAGCATTGGAGTCAACATGGGCCAGCATCCCTGTGGATCGCTTTCGACACCTTGTAGAGTCCATGCCCCGACAAATTGAAGCTGTTCTGAGGGCAAAAGGATTCAACTCATTATTAGGACGGTGTTCCTAATGTTTTGTGCACTCAGTGTATGTGATGACTGACCTACTCGCCCCTAGGTGTAAAGTTCCCAAACCAGGCCAGCAGCATTGTCCTTCTGTCTAAAGGCCCCACCGCCGGAGTGCTGAGTGACAGTGACGTGGTTGAGGACAAACCTGCTCAAGGGCCCACTGAGGAAGAAGAGGAGATGGAGGGTAGCTGTGCGAACCAAGAGGTAGCTGAAAATCTTTACGCTTCTTATTTATCACCTGATAAATCGGATAAAAGTAGGATCAGTCTGTGCTAGCATGGAAATGAAGACGAATAATGCAAGTCTTGAGTTAAAGTGAAAACTTCTAATCCAACTCTGATCCCACTGCTGAGCCGAGTGCCTTGTCTGGAATTTACAATCAAATACACTTTTTTTTATTTTTTTAAATAAAATGTCTAAACCACTTGTCTTTTTAGGGCAAATCTGAGCTATTACTGCAAAGAAATAAAGGCCTTTGTAATACAATATCTTCCTCTTAATTTCAGGCTGATGGGGTTGAAGAGGTGTCTGATGCAGATGAAACGGATGAACCACAGATAAAGACACCAGTCACAAGTAAATCACTATTAAAGAGACCAGCTTAATTCCTGTTATGTTCCTAATTAATATATAGGATCAGTCTGTGTGGAGATGAGGACAATAAAGCAAGTCTGAATTTAAGTGAAGACTTCTAATCCAACTCTGATCCCACTGCTGAGCCAGACTGAGAACCTTGCTTGGAATCTAGAATTAAATGGATATATATTTTTTCTTCAGGGAATAGCTTCATTCCTGTTACATTTGCAAACAAGTGTGTTGTCAACATCACTTAACAAATTATTTCTCCTCTGCAGAAGAACCAGCCAAAGTGAGGTTCCAGGTTCCTGTCCCAGTCAACATTGACCTCTCCTCAGTCCAGACAAATGATGCCTATGACTTCAACACAGATTTTAAATGAATGTCTGTCCTTCTGGCTGTCTTTAGACTGGCAGCCCAATTCTGATTTTGTTTTTCACTAATTGGTTTTCTGACCAATCAGATCAGCTCTGAAAAAGATTTGATCAGTCAAAAGAACAATTGGTAGAAAAAAATATCAGAATTGGGCTGCCTGTGTAAACGCAGCCTTTGTTTCTCAACTCTCATCACATCTAAACCTTACTAGCTGTACTGACACCATCTGTAGTGACTGTTTTTAAGGCCTGTGTGTGGATGTAACCTGTAAAATGAGTTAACAATGTTTTGCCTTTTGAGTAAATGTCCAGCGGTAAATTGTTTAAGATCTGTCAATGTTCATTGTGAATTATTGTGTATATAGCCTGAACACACAAATTGATCCATATTTTGCCCCAAGTTGTGCTTTTTCATTCCAGTTAAAATGGTGATGAATACAACCGCTCAACCCCATGTAGGATGTTCCATTTTAGTTTGCCATGGTGTTGATATTAGGTTGACAGTGTTAAAGACTCAAGGTGGTTAACTTTGTTTTATTAAGCTTATTTTACAAAAGGATGACAATTTGAATATTAACATTCGTTAGATGAATCCTTTGTACAAAGTAAAGAAAAATGACATGTAACAATTTAACACCATATGAACTGTTATTAGGTGTGTAGTGTGTGATAATACTTCAAATGAAAACCATAGGATTGTGTAAATAAGCTATTTGACAATGTTATCCCATTCATAACCATTTCAGCTATTGCACATGTATTGATACTATAGTGGTTTGTGTGTTTAACATCCATCCTTAACGAAAAGGCATGTCACTGCAAAATGCAATCAAGAGAAAGGATAGTAGGCTATAGGCTTGTCTAACTAATTGTTGTGTGGTAGTGAATCTGATATGCAAAAGAGTTAAAGTGCAAGACAATCGGCAGTAACAAAACATTGATCCTTGTTCTGACTGCATAATGCATCAAGGTGAAGGTCTAAGGAAAGAGGCGATCTTGGCAAATTGTCACGGGATAGTTCCTGAACACATAGGCACACAGAATGTATTCAGTATGGCACTACTTCATGTTATATATATATACATTATCTTGTCTCATGTGAAGCTAAGCACAGAACCATTGATGCATCTCAGTCTTAAGTAGCTGCATCTGCATTGATGTGAAAATATAAGACAGAAGGAAGGCCACTTTAGAATTGAGATGAAGCCCAATAATGGACTAACGGAGTTTAACGTTAATCCTTATAGTCCAAGGACCTTACATCTTCTGTTTAGAAGCGAATTGGCTTGGCAGCCAAAACAACCAAATACTCCATCTAAACGTAAATAGGTTATAAATTGCGGTACGGTTATAGAAACATAAAGCCCTCTTTCTGATCAGGTCAAACTAATTTCACAAATGGTTTTAACCGGTTTTAACACAGTTGCAGCCGACAGTATCTTTCAGTGACAGTGTTAACACGTTTGTGGCATCCGTCTTCCGTTTACACAGGTGTTCGGAGACGCACAAAGCTAATTAGCACAGGTAGGTAGTAAAATCTGTCTTCAGTCTGTTTTCCGTAAACGCGCTGTAACATGGATATATGGCCGTGTGGGAACCCTAACCCTATAAAGGTGTGAAGTAATTAAACTTTTTGTTTTCTAAAAATGTTTTATTGCTGATATGAAATATGTTCCTTATGTTTCCAAAACCGTACCGCAAGCGATGCGTGTTCAAGTTCAGACCGAGCGTCGGGACTCTTAAGAAAAGTACCCTGGCCAGAAGATACTATCGTCAATAGGTGCTAAAGGTAGCTAGTGTCTATGAATGGGATAATTTAAATGTATCCTATGTATGACATTCATTTCTCTCTGTAACATCCTGTTACATCCTATGGAACATGCCCTGTCTGCCTGAGATAAACAACAGACATATCACTCTGTTTGGAATGGTCTTGCATCAAGTTAGGGTTCCTGGGAAGTCACTGGAGGAGAGGCAGACTAGCTGTCATCTCGTCACATCCCTGCTTTAGTCTACTTGTCCCCTGTATGTTTCTGAACTGGGTGGAATATACCCGTGGGGTCCTGAATATACCACTTGTCCCAGACTTCTGTGAATGAAGAGGTCCTGGACCATGGTTTGGAATGTCCGTTCCAATGGAGGAGTTTGGCAGATTTCACAAACTGAGGAGAGTAGCGGTTTCCAGCACCAGTAGCCCCTGAAAATGGAGCAATACTGAATCTTTCTATGCAAACAAAGACCAACAACAGTTTGCTAGTTTCGAGGACAAACTGTACAGGGCAATGATGATACCAGTGGCGGCTGGCCGATAGAGGGCGCTAGGGCGCCGCCCCCTTAAATAAAATTATTTTACAAAATAAAAAAATAAAAAAATAAAAATAATAATAATAATAATAAAAACATCAGTATGTCAATATTTGTGTGTTTGAAATATGGAATGCACACAGTAATATGTGTAAGATATGATAGAAAATCATATTCGCAACCTTTCCTCTGCCTGTCAAACGCCTCGTCAGCTCTGGGCGATACAGAAAGTGCCCCGAGGAGGCGGGTCTACGTAGCAGTTAAGCCAATTGCTAATTTAAGATATGAATGTATGACATAAAATGTAGTCAATAAGCGATCTTAAATCGAATCCAAGGAGGGCGATTATTTTATCGCCCCAAGCTCGCCCCTGATAAAATAAGGACCGGGGTCCAGTGACGCCATTTTTACTAGACAACAATGGCGAACGCAAACGTTACTCCTCCAAGACCCAACCCTAACTCGGTGAAATCTCTCCTCCAAGATCCGTTTGAGAGGAGAACTTTGTCAGAGAAAGTTCGGGTGAAAGAGCTGGGCCCAGATCAACCTGACCTCTCAATCAGACAGCAGGCTAGCGAGAAAGGGAAGCAGTATATGCGCGGCTTCTCCCGTAGCTGGTACACCAGGAAGGCTTGGCTAGCTGGGTGCACTGATGCTAATGCTTTATTTTGCTTTCCGTGCTTGCTTTTTAAAACGACGGGGTCAGATTCAGCATGGACAGGTACCGGAGTGAGGGATATGAAGCACCTGTCAGAGAAGGTAAAGAAACATGAGAACACCAGGGCACACATGGACAACTCTGTAAAGCTAGCTGTATTAGGAAGGGTGAACATTGCTACGCAGCTGGATGACGGCCACAGGATTGCGGTGAGGAAACACAATGAGGAGGTGGATAAAAACAGGCACATTCTATCCAAAATTATCGATTGTGTGAAGTTCTGTGGGGCTTTTGAGTTGGCCTTGCGTGGGCACGAGGAGACTGACTCCTCAGACAACCCCGGCATTTTCCGGGGCTTAGTGGATTTTGTTGCCTCCCTCGACAGTGTGCTGGAGGAGCACCTGAAGACAGCTACCGTTTTTAAGGGCACGTCAAAGACGATACAGAACGAGCTGTTGGACTGTATGCTGTCAATGCTTAAGGATTACATCCTGGAGGAAGTAAAGAGTGCTGATTTTATCGCCATTCAAGCTGACGAGACGACTGACGTTTCCACCCACTGCCAGTTGGTGCTTGTGTGAGTGATTATCATAGAGCCGTCACAATTATATTTGTTTTAGTATTTTAAAAGGAAAGAGAAGACACAATCAGACGTTGATAATAATGCAGGAAAGTACTACACAGTTTGTAATAATTATTCAGGTGTCCACCAGGTCAATTTCTAGAAGAGGCCTAGTTGTTATTGAATATTAACTTTATTGCTAAGTGAACAGCAGAACAAAATGATGTTGCATCCCTCTCACAAATGTAATAGAAAAAGGCTTTAAAACGTAATAACATCAGTTAATTATGTACATCACAGGTTAAAAGCAGTTACTAGACATAGTTTGTGTGTATATACACACTGTCTGTCTGTCTGTCTGTCTATATATATATATATATATATATATATATATATATATATATATATATATATATAAAAGTCACTGGTTGTGTGTTGAGGGGGAATTACAGTGAGTTAAGAAGTCTGATTGCAAGTTATCAAATTAAACTTTATTTTTTGGACCCAGGGCCTCAATTCCCTCTTTGTGTGGGCACAGCGTATCTGACGAGCAGCAACAGCCCATCAAGCGACGGAGGATGCTGGGACCAGGAGAACAACAGAGGTTGGCTATAGAGGTAAGTTGTGATGTAATTGTCAGTGTTTCCCACCTAGAACTTTTTTCAGGCCTGGTAGTATGTAGCCAAAACCCTGAACAATCAGCACCTTGGTAATCATATACTTGAGTTGGACATAGGCATGTGTCAGTCAGGATCACTTGCATCAAAATAGCTTAATTGCAAATTAAAGCTGATGATGTATCTTTTACAGGTATGTGATACCATCCTGAGTCATGCCAAAGAGAGGTTCTCCTTCACCCAGCACCTCATCAGCGCAACACTATTGCACGGAGAGTTGTTCCCACAACACAGTGTGAAGTTCCCCGATACAGCGCTTGAAACAACCGTGGAGGCGTACCCCATGTTGAACAAGGCCAAGCTCAAAACCGAACTGTCCCTCATCTATGAGAACAGTGAGTTCAAGGCTTGTAGTGGTGCAGTGCCCCTGTACCAGTTCTTCATGGAGAACAACCTTCAGAGCACTTTCACAGAGACTGCCAGCCTCCTCAAGATCCTCATCACCACACCCATGACAACTGCTGAGTCAGAATGGTGCTTCTCTACACTGAAAAGGATCAAGACCTTCCTGAGAAACAGCATGACACAGGATCGCCTGAACGCTCTGGCCATGCTCTCCATGGAGAAGAAACTTGTCAGGGACATTCCTGACTTTAATCAAAGGGTCATTGAGAGGTTTGCCACTCAGAAGGACAGACGGGCAAAATTCCTGTACAAATAAGATGACAGACACACACACACAGAGCAGCTCTGGCCGCATGTTTCTTTGTATATAGTTGACCTTAGCATAAAAAATCCAGTTATATATGGTACTCTAGAAAGTCTTAATAGTGTCTTTGCTAATATTACTGTATATAGGTTGTTTTGTATCAATTAATTGTTGCAGTTCTGGAGCACATTAACAATTAGTCACATTTAGTATGATCATAAATACTGTATGCTATTCTTCCAGTCAAAGGTTTGAGTTCATCCACTTGATATCCATTTCTATATTATACATCCTTTTATACAGTGTAAGATTTCCTATAAACTTTATAATAATTTCATGTTATTGTCCACTTTCCACTCTGTTCTGACAGCATGCCTGTTGCGTTGCCTGTTTACTACCAATGGTGAAAAGTTCACTTAAATGCAAATGAAAGGCTTGGGGTTTGTGTAATATGTTTTTGTGTAAGAATGCCTCAACTTTTTAATATTGGCATTAAATAATTACTGAATGTTTCACTGAGCACTGCTGTCCTGCAGTTTGTGTTAAAATATATCGCGATGGTTACAGGAAAAAAAAAGTATGGCACAGCCCCACCGAGAATATTTTTCACCAGCCGCCACATGGATGATACTCTAACAATAACCTTTATTTTTACTTTTCCATACAACATTACACCACTAAGTGTGCCAAGGCTGTCTGCAGCTCATCGTTAGGGAAACATGGAGACAGACAGACCATAGTAGTACAGTTCTTACCTAGGTGTCTGACGTGCCACATGGGGTCGATGCTGGAGTGGTGTTTGTAGAAGACAATGAGAAGGGGAGGTGTGGTGATACTCTCTGCCAATGTCTTACTGTACAGGTCCTCCCTGATAAAAAAAAAATACAATAAATGGAAATGAAAACTCAAAGGGAATGCTTTTCAATTGTCTACAATCTGTGGTGAGTGTCTATTTGGATTGATTTAATTCATGTACAGTTTAGATGTTTTATTTCAAAATAATCTCTGGAGTGCTGAGGGAATTCTGCCCCCGAGGCTGTCTGGCTCTCCTGGTGATTTACTGTGCGTTGAGCTCCATCCAGTGTTCCAGTTGGCTGGTGATGTTCTGATGCTTCCACTCCATCAGGTTGGCCACTATCATCACGGGGTTAAAGGAACACGTGTTGGCCCCGCATGCCCAGCTTCTTGATGGCCTCCTTTTTAAAATCCAGGAAGCCAATATAGTTGTTCTAAAGGAATACATACTTGAGATAATTAAAAACATTTACATTATTTGATATGGTACCAAGTACAAATATGAAGGGAAAAATGCTTTCATACCAATATGTAAAATAAGACCCCTCTGTTCATTCATTTATTATATGGAAGTTTTATTTCCTTAGTGTGTCTGTGTAGTCTACAGCTTGTATTGTGTACTTGGTTCCCAGCCCCTCGAACGATGCCCTTTGTGGATGCACAATCAAAGTCATCTGAAAACGCAGCTGCATGCCCTGAAATTAGGCTTGTGTGAAAAAGCTCTTCGATGTCCCCTGCAAATATATCATATGTCTAGTATTCATTAGAATCAAAAGTTTATTGGTTGCATACACAGATTTGCAGGTGTTATAGCAGGTGCAGAGAAATGCTTATGTTACTAGGGCCAACAGTGCAGTAGAATGTCAAGCAAATATAATAGAAATAATTTAAAAAATCAACAGAAGAAAATGTATTCACTTTCAGGAAAGAGATCATCTTACTGTGACAAACATGATCATGTTCTGTAAAGAGCTACCTCGTACAATGATGTCATTATCCAAATAAATGGCCTTTTCTGCATCTGGTATGAATACCGGCATATATACCCTGTAGCTCAGTTGGTAGAGCATGGCGCTTGCAACGCCAGGGTTGTGGGTTTGTTTCCCACGGGGGGCCAGTATAAAAATGTATGCACTAACTGTAAGTCGCTCTGGATAAGAGCATCTGCTAAATGACTAAAATGTAAATGTAATATAAAATCTGGCAAAGGTCAACTTACACAAAAAGAGTAGTATTAGTATTAACAGTAGTATGTGTACAGTATTTAGGAATATCAACATCTATAACACTGATAATACATGTGGTCTGTCTCAACCGGTTTCACAGAGTCTAGCTTCTAGGGATCTTTGGTAATCTTCCCATTGAGAAGCTTGGGCTCAAATATGATGATCTTGTGCTTGACATTGTTAAGCTGAGTCTTACTCATCCACAACCTGGGGATTGACATGGGTGTTTGTGTCTGACAACATGTTGCTAATCATGCTGTGGAGGACAAGGAGATCCGCTGACACTGTACTTTGATTATAAAGGTTTATTCATAACAAAGGATTTCAGCGTCGATTTACAGATACCTGCAAGCATCTGGAGAACAGTGGACCCAAAAGAATATGTTGTTCTGACCTCCTTTGTCTTCACCAAGTATTTATAATCTTTACCAAGATAGGGGTGGTTTCCCCTACAGACCAATCCCATCACTCCACACAACAGACTTCCTCTGTTTTAGGGTACTCCTATAGAACTGCTCTCCAGATGTCTCCCTAGGCCAAATCAACATTCTCTAAGCTACCATTTGCAAACACTAACAACGTCATAAATTCCTTAGATACCACACTACCATTTGCAAACGCCCACAAAGTAATACATTCCCCAGATACCACATTACCATTTGCAAAGCTAACAAAGTCATAAATTCCTTAGATACCACATTACCATTTGCAAAGCTAACAAAGTCATAAATTCCTTAGGTACCACATTACCATTTGCAAAGCTAACAAAGTCATAAATTCCTTAGATACCACATTTCCCCCCTTCGGACTAACAGTTCGTCAAACATTCCATTATTTTAACA